AATGAGTTGTAAATAAAATTAAAATAATATACTTATTTTTATCAATATAAAATAATATAGTATTTATAATACTTGAATATATTAATTGCATCCTAATATATAAGATATTTTGATTACAACGTCATTATATAAAGTACGTACAAAAAAAATGACGTAATGCATAAAAATGTGCTCTAATACTTTTAACAAAAAAATAGTTTCTGTGAATAGAATAAGAAACAAATAAAACAATAGTAATTTAATAGAAAAAGAAAAGGTTTGAATTTTCTTAGAGAAATGTGAATACTAATATCTACAAACATAATTCTTTTAAAATTACTATTTTACATTTTGTTAGTGTGTAAATTAATGAACTCTGTAAGAAATTAGTTCTCATAAATAATGATCTATCAAGAATTTTAAATTACTAAAAATATAAAACTTTGTGATACATAACGTAAATATTAATAATAAGTTCGTAATAATAAAGTTCACAAAGAGACTAAGAGTATCATAATATAATAAAATTTCAATTCTTCTCTTCTTAAATATTTTAATGACATGCTTTTAAATATTGTCTCTTTGTTTTGTTTATTTTGTTTTATTATTATTATTATTGTTATTTTTTGTCCAAGAAAGAATAATTATCTTGAATATTCGAAGCATTATGTATGATGTAAAAAAATTGGACAATAAAAACATTACAGTAGTTATTAGTCACATAAGTACTGGAAATTAAACGAATGTGAAATATATTATGATAAACAACGCTAAAATCACTGCAATAATCAAGATGGTCAATAATTTGCAAACACTAAATTATATAGTTCGTTTGTCTTCCAAATAAATAACATTGAGAAAAAAAAAATGTCGAAGTCTGATCAAACCATTCTTGAATGTTTGAATGAAATTGTCCTCTTTTTTTTTATAGAAATATTTATAATCTCATTGTGTATTTTGGTCGAATATATGTGCAATTACTTTATAGTACGTACCAATGTGAAGATTTCAAAAAGTAATTTAGTGTCTCGTGAGAAGTACATGTAATGAAGATTTTGGAAAGTCAACTTTTATTAGGAGATGAAATTCATTCTCACCTCCTGTGGCAATGCCTCCATTGGGTAGGGGTACCAATTTGTCAATATGGACACAATTATGAAGTAGTTTATATAATAATAACAAAAATATCAACAGTTTAATGATACGATTAGTTATTTTATAAAGATATTCATGGACTGTTAGTAGAAATACCTTATAAAGAAAATACAATAATTAAATTTGACTATATGTTTGACCAAAATATTTATAAGTGTTTGAATAGAGTAGACGTTTTGTCAAATGAATTAAGAAGAATTTTGCAATACTATTGATGTACTGAGCTCCAACAAGTTTGAATGTATTTTATGAAAACGTCAAAACCAAAATGAAAGAAATTACTTTTTAATCACCTAGCATAATTAAATAAAATTACTAATGCATCTATGATATACATTGGTACTTAATTAAT